GATGTTCATAGCAGCACTATTTGTAATAGCAGAAACTGGAAGCAGCCTAGATGTCCCTCAACCAAAGAATGGATAGAGAAAATGTGGTACATTTACACAATGGAGTACTACTCAGCAGAAAAAAACAATGGAATCTTGAAATTTGCTGGAAAATGGATGGAACTAGAAGAAACCATTCTGAGCAAGGTAACCCAATCACAAAAAGACAAACATGATATGTACTCATTCATATGTGGATTTTAAGCATAGAGTAAGGGATACCAGTCTACAATCCACACTGCCAGAGAAACTAATAAACAAGGAGGACCATAAAAGAGACAAACTTTGTCCCCTGGAGAAGGGGAAAGGGTCACGATCCCCTGAGCAAATTGAGAGCATGGGAAGAGGGGGGAGGGAGCTACGAGAATGAGAAGGGAAGAAGAGGAAGGATGCAGAGGTCATGAGGGAGCAGAAAGTTTCAGTCAGGTGTAGATTAGAAGAAAGGAATGTGATAGGTAGGGTTTTAGTTGGGAGGGGTGGTAGGGGAGAAGGGAGGGAGAGGGAACTGGGATTGACATGTAAAACAATCTTGTTTCTAATTCAAATAAAAAATCTGCAAAAAAAATTTTTAAAAGAAATACTTCAGCCTTTGACCTTCCTTGCTCTGGTCCTTGCCCTCTCCTTCTAGCCTTGAGTTCGTCCATTCTTTCTTCTGCATTCCCCTCTTTTTCTTTCCTTCTTGAATTCTCAGAATGTTTTAAGTTTTTGAAGGAAGAAAACTCCCAAAGAGAAAACTTACTATCAATTCCCACCTATCTGTGTCCTTGGGGAAAGCACAGAAATTGCTGCTAAGGTAATGAGATTCTTTACCAGAGCCTAGGCACAGGGAGCTCCTAGTCCCCTGCCTCCCAAGTGCCCAGCACACATGTTCGCCTGAACATGCTCAGTGACTCCAGTTCTAAGTTACATCACCTGGACTTACTTTGAAACTGTATTCATGGTTTTGAGTGCTTTCATCAATACAACACATTAAATGTTCGGCGTTGTATGTTTGGCCTCCCCAAAATAAGCATTAAAACAGCTCTGAAATGAAAGAATGGTGCCCACCAAATGACCATATGCAGCTTCAACTTGGTGCAAAGCCAAATCCTAGGTCCATCCCACCAAGCAATACACACAAACCTTCAGTCAACCCTGCCAGTCAGCACCTCCTTCAGGTCACTCCATGGCAAAGATGCCACAAACTCAGAAGCATGCTCCATACAATCATCCTAACAAGGTTGCTCGTCTGAAACACTCAGTGTGCTGGCCCTCATCCATCCCTAAACGTGGCCATCCTGCTATCCACCCAACTGTTCCTAGACTACCATTTAATACAACGAGGTAGCACTACAGGCAACAGGTGCCTAGCCTACAGCAGCGGCTGCCATGGCTACGCCTGCTGTCCCACTAAGCCATAGCATAAATATATTGCATAGTCTTTAGCAACTTGGTAATACATAGCCTGTTACTCAAACCACTTCAGCTGCTTAACTCCCTGCCTCTCCACTCTGAAGCTGATGAAACTAATGATGCTGTGTCAGAGGCCAGCACACCAAAGAGGCTTCCGGGAAAGTTTATACCAGTGCTGCTGATGTTCTAGATGTTTCAGATTCATCAGGGACCCCAAAAGGAAACTTGTGTTTGTTTCATCAAGGAAAAATATCTAGATACTGAAATCTTGTTAACAGTATTTTAAAAATTTAGAGCATGCTATGCTAAGTATTTTTCCTGGTGTTGCCACAAAGAGACAAAATTCATAAATCTGCATTTATGCATTGAAGATACACCACCTAAAGCTGGGCTCGATGCTACATGCCTTTAATCCCAGGACTCCAGAGGTAGAGGCTGGCAGATGTCTGTAGGTCCAAGGCCAGACTGGTCCTATGTCAGCCAGGGTTGTACAGTGAGACCCTGTCTCAAAACTTTTTTTTCTTTTTTTTTCTACTTTCTAAAAAGAAACTGTTAACATCAATGTTTTGTATGCAGTTTTCTGGTTTTCTTTTTTAAGGGGGTGTTGATGTTTATTAATATCGCAGTCAATTTGTCTTATTTGCTTATTTCTCTTCTATGCAGGGTAATGTTTACATGTACTACAAATTGTATGGTTTCCATCAAAACCTCTATCGATACATTCTATCAAGAAGCAATAGGCAGCTGTTGGGCAAGGATATTTGGGTAAGGCTCAGTCAGTCCCACTTGGTATAATGTTTTCTTTTAAGCCAAGGGGTTGCTTCATCCTAAAAGACAGGAGTGTGGCAGGGCTCGGCATGTAGATTTTTAAAGATAGAAATAAATGTTTGCTTCATTCTTAAATCGAAGGGGCTGAGTACTTTAGGTAAATATTATTGAGAGAGCGCACTGGCCCCCTTTAAAGCAGTTAATGTGGGTGCTAGCCAACAAAATAGCTACCCTTTCATGGGTTTTGAGAGACCTTGGCCCCTCTTTGGTTCACTTGCTAACCATGTTTGTCTGCCTTTCTATAACCAAGGTCCTTGATCCATCCTAAAAGGAAATTTTCTTGAATAAAAGCCTTTGGTTTAACTAAGTATAAAAGCCTAGGTTTAACCTAAGATTTTAAGTTTTTATTCTCAGTAGTTCATATATATTAGCAAGAGAAGCTAACATCCTGACAGTCTATGGAAGTAATAACCTAAACATGTTTAGCAAACAGTTCCCTATGATGTCATCTCGTTATGGACCTGAATACTCCTCTGAATATAGTTCACTTTCACAAAAAGATTGTTAAAAGTGTTCTCGTGTAGATTTAATGTGATACTCAGCAGAGCAAAGTAAAAAAAATTTAAAAAATCATTCCTGCAAATAGTTTTAGCATGCTCTGTATTATTGAGAAGGAAATAAAATACCTAGACATCCACGTGCACATATACCTCCAAAGACTGAGCATTTTCTAGTGTGAGTGAGTAGTCAGAGAGCCAGGAGAAACATGTAACAATCCATAATCTTTCCCCATGCCAATACACTAATGGGGGCTGATGCACATTGCCAGTGTTCTCTCTTTCAGTAGTTTGAGAGTTTTGCCAAAAGCACTTCTCATTGATGTATCATCTTGCATATAGGATGTTAAGGACTGTTCTCCATTCCAAGTGTCCCGCAACAGCACTCCCATCATTCCTTGTGGTGCAATTGCCAACAGCATATTCAATGGTAAGTGACTTTTTTTTCTACCGCTTTCATAAATGTGTAACCACCTCCGTCCACATCTATGATGTTCCCCGGGGCAGCTGAGTGGCTCGTTTTATTTGCTTGCTTAATGCCAAGTATTTTATCCAGGATAAGCCAGAACACTGATGTCTGGTGTTTCATTTGTAGATAACTTCTCCCTTGCCAGCAAACTGAAGGAATAGTCAGAGAACACGAATTAAATGTAGCCAAAGGATATTTTTCAACAACTGGCTCAATGTTGGTAATGGGGGAAAAAAAAATGGTCTCATGATTCAGCATCTATGGCATGTAGGCGTGTTGAGTGTCTGAAAAAAAAAAAAAAACCTAATTTGTTTTTCATCTGTGTCTAGGTCTGCATTCTGACAGGTGACTAAATGGCTACCTAACATCACTACCATAAATTTAAATTTCCTTTCAGATACCATAACTCTTTCATACAACCTTAATTCGTCCATACATATAGAAGTCCCAATGCTAAAGAGTGGGCTTGCATGGTGGACAGATAAGTATGTCAAGTTTCAGAATCCAAGAGCCAGTGACCTTGCTAGTGCATTTGCAGGTAAGATCCAGACCATTGCTCAATAGCCCCTTCCCACCCCATTTTTGGAGACATAGCCCTGGCTGTTCTGACCTCACTGTGTACACCAGGCTACCGTAGAACTCAGAGATCTGCGTGCCTCTGCCTCCAGAGTGCTGAGGTTAAAGGCATGTGCCCCCATGCCTAGTTCCCTATATTTTTATAAGTGTGTGTGTGTGTGTGTGTGTGTGTGTGTGTGTGTGTGTAGGGAGATCCCACAAGGCTTTTTTTTTTTTTTTTTTTTTTTTTTTTTTTTTTTTTTTGTATCTATTTGGTTCCTGTGGCTCTAACTTTCTCCATCCTGGACACCTCCATTGTTTACTTATTAGAAAAGTAAAATAATTGGTTCTGTGTTTTGTTCCAATTAACCATTAAGAAAAAGTAAATGTTTTAGGAAACACAATTTATCATGCAACTGGACACATTGTTTTGGGATTTTTGAGACAGGATTTGTCTGTGTAGTCCTGGCTGACCTGAGCTCCCTCTGTAGACCAGGCTGGCTTCAGAAATCTGTCTCCTGCCTCCAGAATGTTTGGATTGAAGGCATGTACTACCATGCCCAGCTTCAACTGGATACATTTTTTGAGAATAAAAATAACTATCTACTTACTTGAATTTTTCATTTATGGATTTGTAAATTGACATAGTATTGATGGACCTATAAAACAGTTCTAATCAAATCTACTTTAATCTTTTTGAAAATCTACTTTCAACAATGCTGGGTTTTCAAAAATTAAAATACATAAATGCATATTACATATCTTTTGAAATATTTGCTTTAGTTATTATCAAAACATTAAAGGATACTTTTCTTGAATTCACAGACTTAATTGGCTTCTTGGCTGTTTGTGTTATGGCCTTATTATTTTTAATTATTTCAAAATATTGTCTGCAGCTTTAAAAGATGATTCCTGTAGCTAATCAACTTAGGATTGTCAGCACTTTTAAATGAGTCTTCTCTTTTGGCTCTGAGTAAACACCATCTCCATACTTAGTGTCAATTTCGTTAAATGGGGTAGGTCTTAGTTAGGGTTTCTTTTTACTTTTTTATTTTTATTTATTGTTTATTTATTTATTTTGGTTTTTTGTGACAGGGTTTCTCTGTGTAACAGCCCTGGCTGTCCTGGAACTTGCTCTGTAGACCAGGCTGGCCTCTTACTCACAGAGATTTGCCTGTCTCTGCCTCCAAAGTGCCAGGATTAAAGGCCTGTGCTACCACTTCGTAGCTTAGTTAGGGTTTCTGTTGCTGAGATGAAACACCATGACCAAAAAGCAAGTTGGGGAGGAAAGGGTTCATTCAGCTTACTCTTCAGCATTGCTGTTCATCTCCAAAGGAAATCAGCACAGGAACTCAAACAAGGCAGGAACCTGGAGGCAGGAACTGAGGCACAGGCCATGGAGCTGATGCAGAGGCCATGGAGCCGAGCTGCTTACTGGCTTGCTCCCAAGATTTTCTCAACCCACCTTCCCACAGAAACCAGGACTAAAATCCCAGGGATGGCACCACCAACCATGGGCTGGGCCCTCCCCAATTGATCACTAAATGAGAAAATGCCTCACAGCTGGATCCCATGGAGCCTCAACTGAGGCGCCTTCCTCTCTGGTGATTAGCCAGTACAGAGGGGAATGTCAAATTTTTTATATTATATATTATTTTTAATTAATTTATTTTTTACATTCCAATCCCAGTTCTCCCTCCCTCTTTTTCCGCTCTCCCCATCATGGTCTTGACTCCTTTGTTCATATCATGGCTCCTCCCTCACTTTGCTCTCCAGGAGGTCGGCCTGATGGTTACTTATAGATCTCTGCATCTGCTTCCATCTGTTTCTGGAAGAGGGTTCTAGCTTCTCCTAGGTTGTGGATTGTAGGCTGGTTATACTTTGCTTTATGTCTGGTATTCACTTATGAGTGAGTACATACTATATTTGTCTTTTGGGATCTGGGTTACCTCACTCAGAATTTTTTTTCTAGTTCTGTCCATTTGCTTGCAAATTTAAAGATGTCATTGTTTCTTACCACTCAGTAGTACTCCATTGTGTAAATGTTCCACATTTTCTTTATCTGAAAATGTCAATTTTTATTTCATTATAGTGAAGTATGCTAGTATTTTAATCCAAGGCATTTTTTTACTTCAGTTTTTTTCTATTTTTGATTTTTTTAATGTATTATTAAGTTTAGATGTTACAATATAAATCCCGATCTTTCTCAATATCACTTTATTCTGACATAGAAAAATTTTTTAAGCAAAAGTGCTACCAATAATCTTTATAGAAGTCAAAATAGCTGGTTGTTGGTGGCACACGCCTTTAATCTCAGTACTGGGGAGGCAAAGGCAGGCAGATCTCTGTGTGTTCGAAGCCAGTCTGGTCTACAGAGCTAGTTCCAGGATAGACAAACCCTGTCTCGAAAGAAGAAGAAGAAGAAGAAGAAGAAGAAGAAGAAGAAGAAGAAGAAGAAGAAGAAGTCGTCAAAATAATCCGAGGCATAACTATAAAGTTCAAAAATTGAATCTTACTTTGAACTATCACTATGTAATGTGTTCCTTTACTGTCACCTGAGTAAGCTTTAATGCTTCTTTGTTTTGGAGGCTTAGTTTTCCATAAATATGGCCACAGAGTCCTCATAACCTAACATCTCTGACATTACCTATTTTGCATACTTTAAAAAGATTTCAATTATCTTGCACAAAATGGCAACCCAAAGTTAAAGGGCTCATTAAAAAAAAAAAGTTTGGGATCACTGTTGAACACATCATGAGTTATTGATGTACAAAAGCCTTCCTTAAAATTTGAGGCATTCCAAAAATTCTCTTTAATAATACGCATGCTGAAATATGTACCTACCTGTCACACATGTCACTCTTAAGTATTTTGCAATTTTTTGTCTGTGCAGCTGAAACTCTTATAAGCAATGTGTTGTAGCATTGATAGGCTCTCCTGCCCTTTCTGCATGCATGTACCACACCAGTTTAAGGACATTTCCTCTCTGTGCTTTTTCTACTTACTGAGAGAATTAGCATCACTTGAGGGGTCTGCTCCACCAAATTTGCACTTCTTTTATTACTAGTAAAGCAAACAATTTAAGCTTGACTGTTGGCGTTCTTAACTGAGTTAACGGTAACATCTATAATAAATGCCAGGTTTTTTATCTTCTTGATTGACTTTCTGAAAGCTTTGCTTTGATCCTGTGAGGAATTAAAACCCAAGGGCTTATTATTGCCTGAATTTTCCTGTCTGAAGACATTCACGTAAAACTAGTTTCATTTAACTGTTCACAGTTCTTTTTGTGCTGATGAAGTCAACGCATTAAGGCCTTTTCTTTGGCTATGAAAAAAAGTTTTAAGTAGAAACCTAGGGACTAGACCGAGAGCTTGGTAGGTAAAGTGCCTGCTACAGCATGAGGACCTGAGTTCAGATCCCTGGTATCCACAAAAACTCTGGATGTGGTCACACACACACTTGCGACCCTCGTTCTGTGGGCAGGGGAAACAGGTAGATCCCTGGAGCCCCTAACCAGCCAGTTTAGCCAATTGGAGTACTCTGGGTTCAGGAGAGACCCCATCTCAAAGGCTATACAGGAAGACACCCAGTGTTTATTAGGAGTATGTACATGCTCACATACGTGTTCATACACATGTACACCAGTACACCTTTACACACACAAGCACACAGCAAAAGGAAGCTAGGTGTACTGCCCATCCCAGCACTCAGGAATGTGGAAAGGGACTTTATATCAAAAAGCTACATAACAACAACAACAACAAAATGAATATAGAAGTAAATCCATTTATGTTTTATTTTCTGGTAACAGGGTCTCATAGTCTCACTCGGGCTGACTTTGGACTCACAGAGATCCTCCTGACCCTGCCTGCTGAGTACTGGGACTGAGGGTGTGTGCTACCACACCCAGCTCCATTTAATCCTAATGAAGTCATGCTCCCAGAAAGATACATAAATGGACCTTCTGTAGGAGTTAAACCATTGTCTGTCTGGATAGAGTCTTTTTTTTTTCTGGTTTTTCAAGACAGGCTTTCTCAGTGTAGCTTTAGAGTCTGTCCTGGAACTCGAGGTATAGACCAGTCTGGCCTTGAACTCACAGAGATCTGCCTGCCTCAACCTCTGGAGTGCTGAGATTAAAGGCATGTGCCACCACCGCCTGGCCTGGATGGAGTCTTTAAACACAAACTTTTGAAATAAGTTCAAACTGATTTACATTTTCACATTGTCATTAACATCACTGTGGTTTCCATAATGGGATGATGTCAACCAAACTGAGTCATTTCCAGCAACTTTAAGAAAATGAACTTAATTTTACATTAAACACACATTCCAGGTTTTAGATCTTGACAGCTACATGAAAGGAAACACAAGAAATGTTATTGTTTAATAGTGAGTGAGTGAATGAATGAATGAATGAATGAAAACAAATGACCTAAATTAACTTGGAAAATGAAAAAAGCTGATGTCTCAGACCAGACCACATCCAGATATATGGGAAGTGGTGGGATTGGAATGTGATAGAGAGGTCTTAAAATCTGCATTTCAGGGCTGGAGAGATGGCTCAGTGATTAAGAGTGCTGGCCACTCTTCCAGAAAACCCAGGTTCAATTCCCAGCACCCACATAGCAGCTCACACCTGTCTGTAACTCTAGTTCCAGGACTTGTGACCTCCTCACACAGACAGACAAGCACCAGTGAGCACAAAATAAAAATAAACTTTAAGGGCTGGAGAGATGGTTCAGAGGTTAAGAGTACTGATTGCTCTTCTAGAGGTCCTGAGTTCAATTCCCAGCAACCACATGGTGGCTCACAACCATCCATTATGAGATCTGGTGCCCTCTTCTGGTGTGCAGATATACATGGAAGCAGAATGTTGTATACATAATAAATAAATAAAATTTAAAAATAAATAAATAATAAAAAGATGGATGTTCTTAAATCCCAGGCATACATCGCCTTGGGTCATGGTTACAAGACAAACTAGTAAGTAGCTGGGGTCTACAATGGAAGCCAAAAACACATTTTTTGTTAGAGTCAATAACTGATGTCTTGCTAAGGGCAAGATGGTTCTGTGGCATTTGCAGAGGAGGATTCTCTAGCACAGGATTATTTCCAGGGGGGGTATGGATGGTATAAACTACTCCAGCACATTAATCATGCCAGACATAGAATAGCTTTTAGACGCACCTTAGCCTGTGACTGGGGGTTCTATGAGAAGCAAACCATCCTAGTTGGAAAAGAATGGTGTTTTGGTTATGGGTGGTGTTATTGTCTTTGAGACAAGGGCTCACCATGTAACCTTGACTGACTGAGAACTCATAGAGTCACCTGTCACTGTCTCTACCTCCCAGTGCTGGGATTAAAAGAGTGTAACCCTACACTCATCCAAGAGACTTCTTTTTCATCTTTTGAGTCTCTTGTAGGTAGAAGGACTAGCCTTACAGTAGTAAAAAGTCCCTCACATGATCCACTCTTGTTAATTGGCTATCTGAAATTCAGTGTGGATCCTATGGACGTCGGCAGATTGAAGAAGACTCTTTGATCTCTTCATCAAACATTAATTGATAATTGATTGAATACCTGTTGTGTCCCAGGTGCTGGAACAAATGCTAGTGACCAGAGGAGGGTGATTCTGTTTTCAAGTGTGCTCTGTAGAGTGGGGACAGCAATGCTTTCAACAGAAAATCCACCTGTGAGGGTTGGTGCAAGGTCAATATACATGTCTCCTGGCTTCACACTACCACTTCCCACTTTCTTTTTTTTGAGGTTTATTTATATTATCATAGGTGAGTGAGTGTGGGTGTGTATAGGGGCAGGAATGACTACATGTGGGGAAAGTCAGAAGACAACTTCTGAGAGCTGGTTCTCATCTCCCACTATGTGGCTTCCAGGGATTGAACTCAGGTCTTCAGTCTTGACAGCACTGGCCCTTAGCACAGAGCTATCCTACTGACCCTGACATTATCTCTCATTAACCCTACAGAATTAGCATACACTCTTCCTTACAATGTTTAAAGCCAATATCATTAATGATTTCATATTAAACATTTTCTTTTTTAAGGTCAAATTTCTATTTCTCTTCAGTTGTGAGTGCAGTTCTTTCTCTAAAGAAAACTACCATACTACCATACTCCCCATTCTCTCACCTCCACAGGAAGTGCCAAGCCTCTGCATTGGACCAAGCCTGTCTATGAACTAGATACAGATGACCCAGGAAACAATGGCTTTGTCAATGAGGACCTCATTGTTTGGATGAGGACAGCCGCCTTTCCCACTTTCAAAAAACTGTACCGCCGACTCAAGCGCGTGGACTATTTTGCTGTAGGCTTGCCTGCTGGTAACTACAGTTTCAACATATCCTACAGTATCCTTCTCAGCCACTTCCTTTTCTCAGAGTGAAGGCAAGATCTCACTACTCATTGTTGAATTCTTTGATTCTGTTTCTGTCCTCCAGCCAAATGTGTACCACCGAAAAACAGACAGCTATTTTATAGTAATGCACACGGAGGAAGGCAATGCCATCTCCTCAATTCAGGTGTTTCTCCAGACTGCTGAGTCAGGAGAAAAACATGCAAATTGTGTTTATATTATAGTTTGGAACCCTCCCAAGAAATAGACTGAAAGAAGTGACTGCAAGTATTTACATACTGGTTTTAGAGGAGTATCAGGTATGGAAGAACAGCTGAGGGTTAGTTTAGCCAAATTTGTTCTCACAGGTTGCCCTCTGATGGTTAAAGTATCTTCCTCTTTCTTCCTTCCTTCCTCCCTCCCTTCCTTCCTTTCTCTTTCTTTCTGTGATTCTTTTCTTTCTTTCCTTCCCCTCCCTCCC